ATAGTCAGTAGAAACGTGAACAATCGTCATCGTTTGCCAACAAAACCGAATCAACATAATCCAAATTATTAAAACAAGGCCTTTGAAATCCGCTAAAGGAATGCACCTAAAGCCATTCAAGCACTTCAGACGCTCGACACAATAAACACACGAATATTCAAGACAAGTGTCATGAAAATAAGGTGATATCAAACATAAGAGATAGCTGAATGAGGATGGAGCAAGAATTCACTTGATGCGCTTAGCAGCTAAGTTCAGCCCGTAAGCTACAACGCACTTCTTCGAGAACTTGAGCTCAACCGATGATTAGACCAAGACCAAACTTTCCGGCTACCTGTAAAACTCATTGTGAATATCAAACAATGACCTTCCTCGAAGCGGCTTTATTGATTGAATTAGTGGAGCTTCAGTAAAGCTCTAAAAAAGAGTGAGCCCCTCTGCACTTCCGCATTTAATACCGAGATTTGGAGACAAGTTCATTCTTTTTTTCAACTCGTGAACATATCAATGACGGCAGGGCACATCGTTGTTGGGGAATCCCCAACAGGGGGAAGGTCGTATTTGGGCTGAGAAAAATTTATTTTGATAGTTGATTGCTCTTGTTGAGAGGGAGGGGGTTCGTTTTTGGCCCTTCTAGGAGAGGGTTGGGAGTGCCCCCCTTCACTCGACAGCAAAACTTTTGGGTAAAAGTAGGGAACTTCTCGGGAAATTTTGGAAAAGTGGCAGGAAGTTGGGGAAAATCTGAGAATTGGTAGAAGGGTCGTATTTTTCTCGCGGCTTTTCGGGCTTCACATGTGCTATTTAGCATTTAGCGGACCACTGAGCTTTCAGGAAACAGTTACACAGCGTCAGAGTGAGTTCATGCTCCAGGGCAGCGTTTTGAGCGTTCACCAGCATCTCAGAGACTAGGAAAATATAAGTGCCGATCCAGCGTTTTGAGCATTTTGGAAGTGCTCCAACGTTTTCAGCGGCAATCGATATCTATACTATCTAGTCGCCTGAAACGCTCAAAATGCCTAAAACACTGGACCGATTCTCATACTTTCCTAGTCACTCAATACGCTGGCAGGCAATCAACACTGACTTGAAGTATGCACGCATTCTCACTTCCGTTCAGTCGCAGCCAACGCTACGAAAAACGATTTGCAAGCGCAGAGACATGCGCAGTTTTCGCACTAGGATTTAAACCACTTAGGCAGCGTTCAGACTTCGCGACGAGCGCTTCGGTCGCGCGTTCGGCGCGATCGATGCGCATGCTTTCGACTGCATCGATCGCGTCGAACGCGCGACCGAAGCGCTGCCGTCGCGAAGTCTGAACGCTGCCTTAGGCGGCAGCGCTGCACTAGTCACCTCTCTTTGTGCCTGTTTTCCCCACTTCAATTACCTAAGAAAACTGTGTGATGCCGCGACTCGGAAGCTGGTTAGGTTCGAGGTCTATCGAACGACTCTTTTCTCAAAACTGGCAACACCGGAATAAGGAAACCCCTTCCCGTACCGAGGAGCCGAATCACCCATCCCTGTACTCCTCCCCTGATGGGTTAGGGCAGAAATCCCAATCACCATAAGCAAAATCAGTTTTCCACGTGTCCATCATATGGTCCATTAATCGCGTTGCCCTTCAGACACACTCATAGCCGCTCAATAACACTTTCTCATACGCAGTCGAGCCGAAACCAGAATCTCCATAAACAGATGATCGGAAGAAACATAAACGTTTAACACGAATAAATGAGGTGAACAGGACAGAACGTTCTCCCACATAAAGCACTGGTGAGCACCTTCCTTCTTTTTTCAACATATGCCTTTGGAAGGTGTCAGAAATGTTTCGTCAGAATGAGTCAGAGAGTGAATTCGAATAAAAACTAAACACACCTTAGCATGATTAAATATTCCAGACAACGCAAGCGTGAACGGTAGTTGTTGACTGAGGCGCTTCTCGAAAACGCCACCTACTGACCTGGAATAACGATTTTGAGCATTGTATACCATACCAGTTGAAATTATAAATATTTTCCATTTCCTCGCCCCGTTTTTGAGAATGCGCGAACTTTTACGTGAAAATTCGAACTGAACACATTTTCAAGAAAAAAATTCGAGTAAGCTTCTTGGGTTAAAAATAAAAATGCGACATATGAATAACACACCAGTTGGTGTCAATGCTTGCTCTCATTGTCACGCCTTCGTCGGGCAATTCAGCCACGTAGGCAAATGTGCCAACTGCCTAAAAATGAAAAATTGCAGTCAAAGTCGAAAGAAATTGCAAAAGCAGTTATTTAATCCACATAATAATCATTTACCTCTCCAACATTGGAATTGCTCTCAAATTCTACACCGAATGCGAGATTCTCAGCTTGCTTGTGATAATACGTGAAATGAGCACCTTAAATTGACAAGTTCGATAGCAGACTAATATTGATTACTATTCAGCTGCGTTGGGAGTCGTGGGCGGAGTGTGCATCAAGGTGGGCGGAGCCAGAAGAAATTTGTAGAACGCTCCCAGAGCACCCCAGACACCGGGAAAAAGTGAACTGCGGTTCTCAAGTGGTCACCCGTTGAAAAGTGCGTGGCACACCCGTCGTATGCGGAGCGTGCATCGAGGCGGGCGGAGCCAAATTGAAATAATTCGTAAAACACATCCGGAGCACTCGAGACATTGAAAAAAAGTGGATGAATGTCAGCAGTGGGTCACCCGTTGAGAAGTGCGTGGCACACCCGTCGTACCTTACGACCACGTCGCCGTAATCGACGACGGCGCTCAGAAGTTTGGATAGAATCGATTCGACGTCGATTACAAGGGTTTTGGCGACCGACGTCGGCGACGTAGCCGTAAAGTATGAACGCAGAATTGGATAAGCGAGTTACAGGAGCGTCATTCAAAACCC